GTCATTTTCAGGACTTTCGTCCAGGATTCAGGTTTTGGCACATATGCCATGTTGACCGCCATGGTCATTTTACCCTAAAACAGTTGAGATTACCTGTGGTAAATGAAACGCATACAAACTCATATACAGGTCCTAGACTAAACGAGCTATTTCACAACGAGCCATTTAAGAACGAGCCATTTCACAACGAGCCATTTCACAACGAGCCATTTCACAACAAGCTATTTAACAACGAGCCATTCCACAACGAGCCATTTAAGAACGAGCTATTTCACAACGAGCTATTTCACAACGAGCTATTTAACAACGAGCTATTTCACAGCGAACTATTTAGCCTAACACTGACAAGGTATTTAACAACGAGCTATTACACACAGCAAGCTATTTCACACAGACAAGCTATTTAACACTGACAGGGACTATTTTGCAACCAGCTATTTCATGCGAACAAGCCGTTTCGCATTGTTAGCTGTTCCATTTGACGACGCGGACGTAAGCCATTTGAAAATTCATTGAACTGCGACACAATTCAATTTATTTCAATTTATTATAAGATACCAATTTTGCAGTTAAGAACTGAATTACACTGGTTTACATGCATACGAGTAAAATGTCTACAAACACTCCTTATTTACAAGTTGTTAATTGTAATAGTTCTAGGTAAGAATATAGCTAAAAAATTATTATTTAAAACTGGAGTTGTAGGCCTTACTACCGGCCATAATAAAACTGTTAGCAAACCTACTTGTCCTATGCTTTGGTATTGAAAGACAATTATCATTACGTAGAGAATATCCTGTTTTATGTCTTGGGGGAACGAGAGAATGGAGTTTATGGGATGATTCATCACACATTTGAGCAAAAAGTTTCTCGCAAATGGTCTTTCTCCGCAGGAACAGTAACACCACCCCAGCACGTACCAACGCATCTTCATATTTGAGATCAGGAAAGATTATACGAAGGGCTCTCCGTTGAATACTCTCGATCTCGTCGCTCAAATATTGCGCCAAGCTATAGTGCCATGCCTCGCACGAAAATTCTAAGATTGGTCGAACG